ACATATGTTTCATATGTTTGTTGTTGTTTGATTTATCATCTACGGGTTTATGTCGAATTAATTTGATGGCCTGCTCCCAGTTGGCTTGTTAGCTCAATTGGTAGAGCGCTGCACTAGTATCGCAGAGGTCAGTGGTTCGAGTCCCGTACAGGCCTGAAATTTTTTTCAGGTCTGATTTTCACTATTGCTCAAATAGTGCTTTACTGCGAAGGATCGTGCACATATACGTTTCATAACCGCAGTTCATACATATGTTTCATATGTTTGTTGTTGTTTGATTTATCATCTACGGGTTTATGTCGAATTAATTTGATGGCCTGCTCCCAGTTGGCTTGTTAGCTCAATTGGTAGAGCGCTGCACTAGTATCGCAGAGGTCAGTGGTTCGAGTCCCGTACAGGCCTGAAATTTTTTTCAGGTCTGATTTTCACTATTGCTCAAATAGTGCTTTACTGCGAAGGATCGTGCACATATACGTTTCATAACCGCAGTTCATACATATGTTTCATATGTTTGTTGTTGTTTGATTTATCATCTACGGGTTTATGTCGAATTAATTTGATGGCCTGCTCCCAGTTGGCTTGTTAGCTCAATTGGTAGAGCGCTGCACTAGTATCGCAGAGGTCAGTGGTTCGAGTCCCGTACAGGCCTGAAATTTTTTTCAGGTCTGATTTTCACTATTGCTCAAATAGTGCTTTACTGCGAAGGATCGTGCACATATACGTTTCATAACCGCAGTTAATACATATGTTTCATATGTTTGTTGTTGTTTGATGTTGATTTATGGTTGCATTTGTTGGAAACCGATTTCTTTGACATTGAAAAGTCATACAGACTCTGCTGCTAGATATTTTAAATGCTACACATGTAAGATATTATAAATACCCCCAACAATCAGTTTATTATATTTTAAAAGGATATAGGCGCGCGTTTTGTGGAAGGATAAGAATTTTTAACAAAAACTGTCCATTTTTTGGAACAGAGCAATTATAAAAAACACACATACAGTGTATTTAGTCCCTAGAGTTAAACAAAAATGAAATCATGAATAAATGGGATATAGAAACCCTGTACGTAATGCCTATTCTGTTGTTATGGCTATAGCACAGTGATCAGGTGATACGTTTTTACGCCAGCATCTGTGTTGAATCACCCTTAATTATAACTTGATTACGTTAAAACGAGTTGCAGTCGAACCTCAATTGTCCGGACGTGGGGGGAATGAGTTTTCCGGATAATGAAGAGCCCGAATAAGTAAAATTTTGAATATCAATGAGGCAAAAAAACACCGTGAGTAACTTAAGAGAGAGCAGGTACATTTAATCGTTGTTTGGCAACATTTGCCAAAAGTATTTGCAAAAGAGACGTTGTTACGGATGGAGGGATAAATTGTGTTTCGCAGGATAATATAAACAGCTAACATTCTCTTGTGTTAAGGGATTCTTTTAAAGCTGTTCCTCATCGAATGTATCTTTTACAGCTTACATGCATTCGCTCTTCGCCTTGTGGACTGCTTTCAAACCACAGTGCTTATATGACGTATTCTTCCACTTTCCAAGCAACCGCTTACGATTTAGCCTTGGGATTTTGCTTCACTCACAGGTCACTCACTCATCAGCTGATTGCAAATTTTCCAAACGGCAACAAACAAATTAACACCTACAACGGTTAAAAATGTCTCAAGCTATAAGGAATCCAGAAATCAAGTTCACAAAGGTTTGTTATATTATTACATTATAAATTTCCACAGGAGTGTAGTGATTTTAAGTAACGGCGCAATCGAGCATTCGACCCAAACGATTTCCATAGAATCCACTGAGCTCAATTTTATAAAACGCGCGTGGAAGCCATATTCTTCGTAAACTGATAAGAGAATCTCATATGCATTGGTTTTGTTTTTGAATTTAAGTCTTGAAAGGTGAGGCAAGCAGCAGTAGATAGAAAGTCGCAAAACGTCTTGTCATCCCCCCCACTGAATAACCCTCAACAGACACGAACCAACATCTAAGTGGGGTATGTCCTCTCCAAGAGCGTAATTGAAATCTGACCAGTCCGATTGTGTTAAGATTCAACACATTGGTTTGAATACCTCACCTTCAGGCAAGAAAGCTAAACGATAAATTTACAAAGTTCAATTGCATTGAGAAAGTTCTTGAATTTACTAACTACCGTTTGACAGGTATTTTACCAGTATCAGTACAACAGGTATAACAGAACCCGTTTTTAAGAAAAGCATTTCATTATTCTAGCCCCCTCCCCTGCAATAGATTCTCGTCTCTTTATATCATTGAGTCAGTTTAATATGAGAGAACTTGTCCAATGCCATTTCACATTCAATAATATGGTTTAAAGTCAAGAACTCTCATGTGTTTTCCAATATTATTACTTCTTTTGACCCCCTAACTCCCAATATATGCTAGTTTATTCTCCCCTCTAGCTGCTAGATATTTCCTTGCAAATTTGTTTCAATAATTTGGTTTTAGATCAAGATAACATCATCTACCTGATAAGTTTGAGTATTCTCATTACCTGTTTGCTGGATGATGTATGGATATTATAGGGAGAGGTTACACAGTAATCACTTAACGGGTTTATTACGTCCATTCTGAAATCACTGGTGCTCCCTGTAATCTGATTGGCTCTAATTGGTGCGATTTATTCACGAATCGCCCCATTTTTTGCTGTAAATCACATCATTTTACGCTTGACTGAGTTTTTGACACATGACGTCAAAGTCTTTCTGTTTTGCATACAAAATAAGATGTAAAAGCATTTCTGGTTGTGCTTTTTATTTAAAAACCAGCTCAGTACTGCATCAATAAAATATTTGAATTGACCAAGTCCTATATTTGGGCGATTTCAAAATGGATGTAATAAAGTGGTAATTGAACCTCGTGTCGTGCAATTTTGGTCTGAAATCATACTTGTGATTTCAAATTGAACTTGTGCTGTGCGCTCATTCGATTTTGAAATCGTGCATAATTTCAGCCCAAATTGCACTCCACTCAGTTCAATTACCATTATTAATATTGCAGTTGCTGCATACACTGTTATGATTCTGGCATGTGTAGTGGGCACATGTGCTATAAAAGAAAGATTCAAGTATACACCTGGCATGCTCTCCAGATCATGTCAACACAAGAAATACACTTGAGTCCCAAAATTCTAAGAATAAACTTGGAAAAATGATATAAGATTGACTTTTAACTATTGTTGAACGTGGTTGAATATCGTTCAAGCAATCCAGGTATGTCACAAACAATAATGACAATACTATCATGCTACTAAATTTTTGTTACACTGACTGACTGTTTTGAATTTCACAATTGTATTGTTACTTAGTCACTGGACAGTGTAACAGGATCTTGGGGTTTTGACAGACATAAGAGAATTTGTTTCTTACTCATTTATTTAATTAAGGTAGAGTTTATTCTGTTAAATGTTACGTGTAACTGACTGTCAAGCCTTGTACATTGCAGAGACTGGAAGGTGATGTGAACAATCACATTGCTGAACATCATTGACTTATGAACCACACTATTGAATGGGACTCTGCACAATGCCTAACCTACAGCACTAACTACTTTAATGACTGACTCTGGAAAGCTGGTTTACTAACTTAAGTGGGATAGACTCCCCTCAACAGGTGTCAACTACTACTGGCACCACACAGATCACTTATTCACAACCTTAGCATTACAAATAAACTGACAAAACAACCTAACTTAACTGAAGGATCAAAACCAACCAATCACAACTGATTTATGCCAACTGAGTTTTACAGCCTAGCTATAACGTCATGGCAAAACTGACCAATCAGTTAATACGAACTGGACGTAGAATATTTGACTAACAACAACTATTCTCTTGACTCTGATGATGACTTCTGCTCAGGTTTTCAAAATGTCAGTCACCACAACTGACAGCAGACCTTCTCTGATGACTACACTGACATCCTGACCATCAGACTTCATCATCACATTCTACCTGTAATATTGTTATCTTAAAGGTTACTTACCTTACATTTCAATTGACATCTCTCTTATATACTGACAGCTTTTTATCAATAATGAATATGTGGACTCAGTCAACAAGAAAACATTTCCCACCATCAATCCAGTGACTGAGGAAAAGATATGTGAGGTTGCAGAGGGTGAAAAGGTACATGCACAAATTTGTGCATTTAATTTTTTTTCCTTTTTTTTTCTCAACAAGTGATACATTTTTACCATTCATTTTTTGTCTTTTACTGATAATAATACATAAACCCTTCAACTCCCAAGATCTGATTGTCAATTCTTCTCTCAAACTGTAGCACATTTCTTTGTGAATTAGTTAGAAGAATTTGGTGTGAGATCAAGCTAACAACTTCCAACTGATATAAGTTTGAGTATTCTTATTACCAGTGTTTGCTGGATAATGTATGGATTAACACTTCTGAGAGTTAAAAGGGTTTATTTGATACTACCAAAAGAATTTTTTTAGCAACATGTCATAGGTACCCAAAATATACCTGCAAGAGTAGTGCTATGCTACTGTGTCCAGTTGAGACAATTCAGATTTGGGAGGGGAATGCATTGAAACAGTCAGCCAAACTTTGCTCTTCAAACTCTGCTGATTATGCCTTCGTCTCTTGAGATATTGTAACAATTAAATATTAAGTAACTCTCGCTTGATACTGCTAGTCAGGAGAATTTGGATTTAAGTCAGGGAAACTGAAGCCGATTGCGTGGTCATATTCATTTTAAAGCCTATTATCTTTCCTGCTTCAGGCAGATGTAGACAAAGCAGTCAATGCAGCTATGGCAGCTTTTAAACTGGGCAGCCCTTGGAGGACTATGGATGCTTCCCAGCGAGGAAAATTGCTGTACAAGGTTGCTGATCTTATTGAAAGAGATCTGGACTATCTGGCTGTGAGTGAAATCATGCTTCTATAATTAAGTACAATCACAACCTGATACTATACATTTTTGTTGTGTATAGAAGCTCTTAAACCTGTTAAGGTGGATTTCCAGTGTGGTGTATGTTTTTCCTTCTGTTAAACATGCTTAAAGAAAATGTGCTTTTGCAATTTCCAGTGCTGTGTAAAAATCGTGACCAATCATTATTTTTATGTGTGAAATGTGCAGGTCTGTATGTAAAAGGTGAAGGCTGTTTAACTTTATTCTTCGTTCTCTTGATTGCGATGAGTGTGAAACACATATAAATACCAGGAAAAAAAAAATGAAGTTAGATGGAAATATGACAATGTTAAGTCAACAGATGGGTTAATCAGCACATAAATGTTAATTTCTATGTTTGTAATTCTTCTAAATTAAATGCATGTTCACATGTGTGGACAAAACTGTGATAGTGGGATTCAAATCAAGCACATGGATTAGAAAGAAACTGCTTGTTCTTTTTACTAAGTTGTTTCACTCATCTTATTATTAAGTCCCTGGAAACATTAGACAGTGGAAAATTATTCACTGACTCAGTAGATGACATGGATCTAACAGTGAAGTGCTTCAGATACTATGCTGGATGGGCTGATAAGATAACAGGAAAGACTATATCTTCTGGTAAGTATTATTCTGTCTGATTACCCTTAGCCTGGATTAAAGCTCTAGCAGCAATGTGTATCAATGGTATTACCCTATTGGCCTGGATTAAAGCTCTAGCAGCAATGTGTATCAATGGTATTACCCTATTGGCCTGGATTAAAGCTCTAGCAGCAATGTGTATCAATGGTATTACCCTATTGGCCTGGATTAAAGCTCTGGCAGCAATGTGTGTCAATTGGCCTGGATTAAAGCTCTGTCAGCAATTTGTATCAATGGTATTAAGACTTACAACTGAAGTTAAAACTTTAAATATTTTTCTGCCTCTTTGACATGTTCTCATTAGTAACTTCAATCTTTACTTTTTACATGCAGATGGTCCTTACTTTGTGTACACTAGACATGAACCTGTGGGTGTGGTTGGAGCTATTGTACCATGGAACTTTCCTCTTAACATGGCTTGCTTGAAGCTTGCCCCTGCTCTGGCTTGTGGTAATGTTGTTGTACTTAAACCAGCAGAGCAAACTCCATTAACAGCACTCTATGTGGGATCGTTGTTTGAAGAGGTAGGCTTAAGTCTTCTGCTATTTTAGGCAGAAGCAGTACATTTTATCTTAACCACTAAAGTTTAAGTAACAGCATTTTTTAAGGCATTTAATACCCTGTTTAGGTCAACTGCAGCAGAGTTACTGGTATTTACAACCTTCAGGAAAACTTCAGAGTGTCCTTGTTTTTCAGGCTGGTTTTCCTCCTGGTGTGGTGAATATCATCTCTGGTTATGGTCCAACAGCAGGAGCAGCAATATCTGAGCACATGGATGTCAGTAAAGTTTCATTCACAGGATCAACTGAGGTATACAAGCTGTCAATAATTTTCAAACAAAATAACCGGCAAAAGTCCCATCCATCTATCTATAGTTATCAATCAATAAATGTGACAATCAATCAATCAATCAACTAGTAAGCAATTCTTCTTTGGTTTATTCATAAAAATTTGTGTGTGGTAGTTATTAAGTGTAGAAGTGAAATATATGGTCAACAGTCCTAGCAGGGAGACAGCTACTTAACTTGTGTCTCTCTTTAGGTGGGAAGGATCATACAAGCTGCAGCGGCAAAGTCCAACTTAAAGCGTGTAACACTGGAACTGGGAGGAAAGAGCCCAAATATAGTTTTTGCTGATAGTGATATGGATTATGCAGTGGAACAGGCACATTTGGCATTGTTCTTCAACCAAGGACAGTGCTGCAGTGCTGGCAGCCGCACTTTTGTACAAGATACCATGTATGATGAGTTTGTGAAAAAGAGTGTGGAAAGAGCTCAAAAACGTTCAGTTGGGGATCCATTTGATCGTGTCATCGAGCAAGGACCACAGGTGTGAAGATTTTATAACCTTTTCATTCTTAAGATATGAATATCAGTTCTCCATACTGTTTGATGTGCATGCTCTTCCCATAATTTTGCACACAAGGAATTTGTTTCTCAATCAGACAATATTTTTCCCTAATTGGGATTTCTCTTTCTTCTGATTGTTGTTGTTTAGGTTAACGAAGAACAGTTCAATAAAATTCTTGATCTGATTGAGAGTGGAAAAAAGGAAGGAGCAAAGCTTGAGTGTGGTGGAGCTCGATATGGGGACAAAGGATATTTTTTACAACCCACAGTCTTCTCAGATGTAAAAGATCATATGAGGATTGCTAAAGAGGAGGTACTTAATATCTTTATTGCAACAACTTGTGGAATGATAAAACTAATTTGAACTTGTAATTAATGCACTGGTGTCTGATTTAAAACTAATAACAGAGCTGCTTAATGTGAGATTTTCAAAAAGTGTATCCTTTAGTTTGTAAATAACAAAGACATTTTGTCTCCGCCCTTAATATCGTATCGCATGTCTAGTTGAAATTTATAATATACCGGTACTGCAAATTATGGTGATAAATCTGATAAAAAGGAAGACTACAACTTGAGTGGTTTAGACATGAATCTTCATTAACTAAAATAAAATTTAAACCACAGCAAATACTGTAAAGTAGAGACAAGGAATTATTTATTCTTTATTTTGATAAATAGACTTTTCCTTTACAGATATTTGGTCCTGTACAACAGATAATCAAATTCAGTAATATAAATGAAGTTATTGAGAGGGCAAATAAAACAACATATGGCCTGGCTGCAGCAGTATTTACCAAAGATATAGATAAGGCAACAACAATTTCTCACAGTTTACAAGCTGGAACAGTTTGGTTAGTAAAAATAAATGATTTGTTTCTGAAATTCCCAAATGGGGTGTTTAAGGTAGAAATTATAGAATTTACAAAATAAAAATAGATCAGCCTTTTATTTCAGAAATACATACAGTACATGATAGTTAATTTATGTTATTATTGTTGGTATTGTTTTTTCTTTCAACTCAGGGTCAACTGTTATGAATGTGGGGCCCCACAAGCCCCTTTTGGAGGCTTTAAAATGTCTGGATTTGGCAGAGAATGGTAATTACAGTACTGTTGTAATAATTTAGCACCAATATGTGACATGACCATAGTTTGACCTGTGTGTGATAACAAATAATTAAGTGATCGTTAACAATCGGGCTGCAATTGAAGAAAAAGAATTCCATAAAAAATTTAAGTTTCAGTTTGGTTAGTTCTTGTGCCTCCCATATTCTAGTTGGGGACTCCTTGTAACTGAGCAACTATAAGTAAGCCTCATCTTGGGATTGAGGCAAGTTTTAGTGGGTTCTTTGTTCCACATCAAGTAACCTGGTTGATAGTGCTGCCCAACTTGTACCCAGGAGGCATGGTGATAGGCAGCTGTGCCTGGAAAAAAGGCATTCACCCTTTACACCCTAAGATCAATATGAATCTTCTCCTTACTTTTCTCTTTACATGTATTTTCCAATGGCAATGATAAGGAGAATTTGTTTGACAATCAATTAGGATTCTTTAGTTGATGATCACTTCTTTAATTCTCATGCATTTTGTGTTTGATTGAGCTATGATACTGTGAGGAGAAATTAGATGCTGGTCACTTTTACGGGCTAAAGGGTTAGGGCTAAGGCAAATCCCAAATGTGAGAGCCTGCTTGCAGGTCAAACAGATGGCTGTTAGAGGTCTATGCGTGGGCGTAGACAGCTGGTGACTGGCTATTTTTTAACCCCTGCATGACTTTATCTTTGGATCATCTTTGAATCATCTCATGACGTTTTTTATTTAAATATTAGCACTAAGAACTTCTCAAGATGGAGCAATTTATATAGCTGTGCTTGCCTTAAATTGTAATGTCTTGAGTGGATCAATTTTAAAGGTTGCCATGCTGTTTTTATGACATTCATTGGATTGTGCTATGGCATTCATGGTTATACAATACTTAATCAAACAGTGCATTGAATACAAATGAATAAAGGCTGATGGTTTCGAAAGAAACTGTTTGGGGCTGCGTCGGTGAGAGTAACGAAATAATTTGGATATATCAACAAAGTTGAATGGTAAATTGGCCACCGTAACGATTACAAAAGCTGACGTTTCGAGCGTTAGCCCTTCGTTGGAGCGAATGAATTCTTGCCTTAAATTGTAATGTCTTGAGTGGATGCATTTTAGAGGTTGCCATGTTGTTTTTATGACATTCATTGGATAGTGCATTGAATAATTTGATTCAAAGCTGAATGCTCTTCAACTAAGCAGCACAATTTGTCCTGTCATAACCTTAGAGTCTTTTGTGTTTCTCTGACAGAAAATTTGAAAGAAAGGCAAATGAATTAAAAAAATTGAGATATAAAGTTTCTCAAAATTAGTTGGTGACTGCTGCTTAGCAAGAATAGAAAGTGGGTGCCCAGGGTTTCTGAGGACTTAATTCAGCCATGTCCAGCCAGCCCCCAGAGACACAATACTGCTCCATTGACTGGCAGCTCCCACTAACTTAGAAAGAAAGTCTTAAGCACTCTAAACAACAAACGTGTCTAGTTACAATGATAAGGTTGAGATCGGACGTCAGCATTATCAGGCGCCTCTGGCAGCCGCTTCAGTCCATGTAACCTCGTGCGTGGGAAATTAACGTCTCCTACCCCTAACCCTGCAGGAGACGGGGCCTACGGTTTATTCGTCTTTATCCGAGAAGACTAGAATATCTATCCATTTCTTTATATAATAGAAAGGTAGCAAATTCTCATCACTTATTTTAAGACCATGAGTATTGGTCCGGCCGGGGCTCGAACCCTCGACCTCCCGCACAACACAATCCGGCGCTCTAACCAATTGAGCTAACCGGGAGGCGGTACCTAACCTAAGACAAGGACTCCCGCGCCTGACAAATCGGAACGCCCACGAGTGAGTTCAGAGAAGAAACACACACGCGTGAGTGCTGGAACTTTTAAAAAAACTCGGATCTCTCATAAATATAAAGAATTGAGAGTTGAACTCGATAAGCGACCGAGCGTTTACTCTCTCATCTTCTTTCGAGCGGATAAGTTTTGAACACCGCGTTACTTTCATCACTAGCCTCAAGTGATGATATCCAAATCAATTCTTCTCTGTTTTTCTTTGATGAACTCGTTAAGTTTTTCAACGCAGTGTGGGATTCTTAAAAGAGTCACTCCACGGATTTTACATTTTCTGGTTTTAATCTTGTCTATCCCTCTTTGATAACTGAATTCATTGATGTTGTTTTGAAATGGATTTGGATATTGGTACTGTTAAATGCCATCGTA